TACAGCTCCTCTTCGACTGACGCAATCAGAGCCGACTGGGACCAACCGACTGGGGATGCCCGCTCAGTAAGGACCAGGAAACAGACGGGGAAAGCAAGGCAGGGCACTCAAGTCAACCGCAACACAAAGGACAGTACCCTATACACCTACAGGACAGTACCCTGCGACCTCCCGGGCATGATAGAACCCAAGCAGTGTTGTAGGCACCGACATTTTCCCTATAGTGTTGTGGGCGCCATCAACTCCCATACCAAACAAATACGGTAAGGCTCCCCCACATGCCTCTAGGCATCAAACAGTGTTGTGGGCGCCGACATTTACCGTACCAGGCGAACATGGTAAAACACCTTGCATGCCTCTGGGTATCAACAATGTGGCAGGCACCGACATCTGCCATACCAGAAGAAGACGACGCAACCTCCCACGTGCATCTGACATTGAACAGTATTGTGGGCGCCTACCATCATCTTGTACCCATCGGCGTGGGCAGTAAGACTTAGCAGCATACGTACTCTCTCTCTCTCTCTCACTTGTAAGGCCATCCCCTTCATCTATAAAAAGGGATGCGCTCTCTTGCAATGAAAAGATCGATTAGTGGACCTACATTGTTTCACCCCCTGTAACTTTAGACACTCAAAAAGTTATACCGAGCACACGCTCGAACACTTAGCACATAGCGGGGCTCCCGTCACTCTTGGCCCTTCAGACCAGAGTCCGACCGGACCTCTTGTACCCCACATCTTTCTCCCTTCCATTTGTAACCCTAATGCAAACTTCGAGCACCCGGGCTCAGGAATAAAGTCACCGACCGACTCAAACTAGACGTAGAGCACGTTGCCTGAACCAGTATAAACCCTGTGTCATTGAGTGCTAGGCCACCTCCAATCACAACGTACAACAAAACTACAAATATTTACGTGTTGGTCACTTTCTGCACCGACAAATATCTTTGGCAAGTGTTCTAGATTGAACCAAATTTGGTAAAATGATCCTCACCCCATTGATTGACATCGATAAATCTTAATCTATCTAAAATTGAACCTTTGTGGTCATTGATGACAAAGGGGAGAAGTAATTCACAAAGATTGGGGGAGGTAACATAAGGGGAGAAATACGACAAAGGAAGGGGATCAATTAAAATTTGAGCACACAAGTAGAGGGAGCAAGCTCATAAACTTATATGATGCATTTGAATGTGCATTTCATATGTTGCTGGCATGGCACAAGTTTTAAATTAAAATTCCATGCTTATGTGATGTATGCTAGTTGTAAGTTTGATTGATGAAATGAAATACTAGCATGCATAGGATGATAGTTAGATACACCTTGCTTATATTCAAGTAGTACTAGAACCTTGTTTATAATGTTGATCTCACGAGGTATCTAGTGTTTGTGTTTTGCAAGTGATTCCAAGTGAACAATGGTGCTAAGAATATGGTATATTTGGTGCACTCCGATTGGTATCATGCTTCAAAGGTTCATCTCTTACACCTTAGCATCAATTGGTAGACATTGCCCTCCCACATCTCTAATATACGCACATATGCAAGCTTCAAACCAAACTCTTAGCACATATGTAGGGGGGAACTAATGCTATGAAATCGGGTTCATGAAACTTGTCCATATCCTTTACACATTGTAAAATGCTTGGGCAAGCAACATGGATTCAAAATGATTTTAATTCATATCTTTGTGAAAGGGTTGTCATCAATTACCAAAAAGGGGAAGATTGAAAGCTCTAGTTTGGTTTTGGTGAATTGATAAAACCCTAGGTTCTAACCCTTGCTCTAAGTGATCATGAGATAGGGTAGCACATTCCAAGTGGTGCAGCAAATGGATGAAGATCATGATGGTGGTGATGGCCATGGTGATGATCAAGTGCTCGGGCTTGGAAAAGAAGAAAGAGAAAAACAAAATGGGCTCAAGGCAAAGGTGATATCCATAGGGCCATTTTGTTTTGGTGATCAAGACACTTAGTGAGTGTGATCACATTTAGGATAGATAGCCGTACTATTAAGAGGGGTGAAACTTGTATTGAAATGCGATTATTAAAGTGCCACTAGATGTTCTAACTCGTTGCATATGCATTTAGATTCTAGTGAGTGCTAACACCCTTGAAAATGTTTGTGAAAATATGCTAACACACGTGCACAAGGTGATACACTTGGTGGTTGGCACATTTAAGCAAGGGTGGAGAAGTTGGCGAAGTCGTGGAGGTGACTGGTGCTGACAGGACGCAGGGACCTGCGTGTTCGGTTAGTGGTGCATAGAAGGGCACGGCGTCGGTCCATGATCAGACGCTGGCGTATGTGGAGATCGGACGTGACTACAGTGAGTCCGATCGCTGATGACGTATGCTGAAGTAGGGCGCTGAAGCTGGTGAAGAGGGACCGGACTCTGCGGTGCGACCGATCATAGATGATCTGATGCGTCTGGTCTTGAAAAACATGTTTTGGAACCTCTTAGTGTAAAAATCATCGTGACCAGACTCTACGTTATAGAGTGCCCGATCATCTTCTTCAGCGTGCCCGATCTCGGCAATATTGGCTCGGGCGAGCGCGCGAGCGAACACCGCGGTGGCGCGTCCGGTCGTGTGGTGCTACGTCCGGTCATGACTTAAGCAGTTGGCGTGTAAGTTCTGACCGTTGGGATTGAGCGAAGGAGCTTGAACACAAGGGGCACGTGGCCTCCATCCAGTGACCAGACGCTGGGGCTATAGAGTCCGGTCAATGCGACTAGTGCGTCCGGTCCGTACGCAGGGGCACCCCACCTTGACCCTAATGGCTCTATTTCATGGGGGTGCCTATATAAGTGGTTTGGCCGGCTTGGGCTCATACTCTTAGGCATTTCTATAGAGAATACACCCTCGTGAGCCTAGCTAATCCTCTCTCACTCATCCTACTTGATTGATTCATCATTTGATGAGATTAGAGAGCATCCAAGTGCATTGCTTTGAGTAATTGCATCTAGAGGCACTTGGTGATTGTTGTTCGCTGTTTCCCTTGGTGGTTGCCGCCACCTAGATAGCTTGGTGCAGCAAGGATCATAGAGCGGAGGAAGGTGATTGTCTCTGGCTCCGATCATAGTGATTGTGAGGGGTTCTTGACCTTTTCCTGGTGGAGAGCCAAAAGGTACTCAGTAGATTGCTCGTGGCTTATGTGATTCCCATCTTGTGTTGGTTGTGCGGCACCCGATTACGGGTTAGGCGTGTGATGCCTATTAGTGCATGAACCTTCAAGTGGGTGTATCGCCACAATGGGGACTAGCTTGCCGGCAAGCAAGTGAACCTCGATAAAAAATCATTGTGTCATCTTGTCTCCGAGGATTTCTTTGGTGTTCATTGATATACTGTGATTGATCATTTGCCACGGCAGTATAACCCTCCTACCTCTCTTGTGCATTTTCTTTTCTAGTATAGCTAAGCTCTTTAGTGTAATTAGTTTTGAGAGTTAGCTTGTGTCTTGTCTAGTGGTTAGTGCGGCTCTTTAGTTAGTCTTTGAGAGCTCATCAACTTAGTGGTAGTGACTTAGCCTCTTGTGATAAATAGAGATCATAGCAACTAGAATTGTTGATATGAGGTTTGCATTTTGAGTAGGCTAGCGCAACACTTGCTTCGCTTCATAATTGTCTAACCACTTGGTTTTAAGTGTTGTTGTAGAATTTTTAATAGACTATTCACCCCCCCTCTAGCCATTAAGACCTTTTATATAGCTCCCAACTCTAAATCCACCAAAAACGGCTCCACTCCCTAAAAAGTTTGCCAAACACTCTAGTTCCACCAAATCTGGATTCACAAAAAATGTCGATCTGAGGCTAGATTCATCAATTTGGTGGATCTCCTCAAGGGGTGCTCCACCAAACTCGAATTGGTGAAGTTAAAAAAAATTACCCACCACTACCACTGGTTACACAACATAACGCTTCGTTCTAATTAAAAAAATACCCACCACTGCCACCTCCGGCGAGCGCGCTCCAGCCCTGCTCCTGTCACATGGGATCCACGCATGCAGGCGAGCCGTACCTACCATGGCCGGCCACGTGCACCCCCGGGGGCCGAACCCACCATGGTCGGCCGCGTGCGTACCCAGCGAGGTTGCGCCCGCCTCCTTCGAAGTCGTCTTCTCCCTGACGTGCACCACCTCCTCTCTCCACCGGGCAAGATCCGCCATGGCCAGCCGCTGCGAGCTCCTCACGGCCACGAGCACCCTACCCATGTGTGCCCTGCCACCACGAGCCTGCCTGGCCATACATGCCCCGCCGCCGTGAGCCGGCCTCCGGTCAGTCGTGCACACGAGCTCAACGAAGGAGGAAGATGCCTTTTTTCTGATGTGTGGGTCCCACGAAGGAGACATTGACATGTGGGACCCTTCCCATGGGCAAATCTGGCCATTCCCGTCAAATTGCCCTTGCGTGGATCTGGATCTACCGCATAAGCCAAACAGTTTCACGGTGGATCTCAGATGCACTAGTGGAGCTGCTCCCCAGTGAATCCCAGATCCAGATTCACTTTTCCAGTGGAAGAGCTATCCCAAACATGCCCTTAAGGTCCGTTTGGAGAGGTTCTGATCGGCTCCAGCTCGTGCTCCTGCACTGTAACTGCACTGTGGCGGAGTCAGCCGGCTCAAACCCTAGCTCCCCCAACTTCTTCGTTTCTCAGTTTATTTCCGACAGAGTTAGAGCCGTTTTTATGCGCTACATACACTGTCCAACAGTGATTCACAGTACTCCTGGAGCCGGACACCGGAGCCTCACCGAACGGCCCTTAGTGCGTATAGTTGAAAAGATGAGACCGGTACAAAACAAGTAAAGGCACGCTAGGTCCATCAGACACACGTCTATCACGCATGACGAACAAATGATGTTTAGGTGATCACGTCGTCGCTACTCGCTAGCGACTAGCTAGCTAACGAATCACGATTATGACGTCCACACCAAACATTGCGGGCCGCGCGCGACGCCCTTTTGAGACAATCAGACCTCAGAGGAAGCGGTTGAGGTACTCATCGACGGTGGTGTAGTTGACATCCGGGTACTGCTCGCTGGCGTCCACGGTCCACCCCCTTGGCCGGGTCGATCTCGAAGCCGGCCTGCTCCCCACGCACGTACCCCGCGTGCCCGATCGCCAGGATGATGTTCACCGGGATCGGCGACTCTGCACACGCACGCATGGACACTGTTAAAACCTGTGCAATACTGCAATGGATCATCCAAGGATGAACCAAATAAACCAACCTTGGATCTGCTTGAGCACGGCTTGCTCGGGCACGTACTCCCGCCGGAACGTCTTGCCGGTCTTCCTCTCCCACAGCGCCAGCAGCTCGTTGTGCGACAGCGTGTTGGCGGGGGGCTTGATGTACAGTGTCTTGTTCTCGGCGCGCGGGTCGTCGGCCGCCAGCATCGTGTAGGTTCCGATGTCCCCCTCGTCGACGAACGACACTTCGGTGTCTCCGTCGCCGAGGATGACGGCCTTGTCGACGGGTGGTGCTTGGGCCAGCACCTGCCCGATGCCGGGCAGCCCGTAGCCGAAGAAGTAGCCCGTCCACACGTACGTGTAGGCGACGCCCGCAGCCTCGACGGCGCGGCGGATCGCCGCCTTGGTCGTGATGAACATGGACCTGGTCGGCTCCTCGGCGTCCGAGCGGTCCGCGTCAAGTCCGAACTCCGACGGGATGAACCTCTATAGCCGTGCATGGCGCAGCCGTTGGTCAGACAAAGAGACAAACTATCATCTAGCTAGCTAGTGGCTGAGTTTTCTTTATCACCAACGAAAACGTTGAATTCGCGAAATTCTGTCTGGAATTTTGGGGGGAAACTACAGTGTTGTACCTTGACGTTGCCGGCCTCCTTGATGGCGTCGATGAGCCTTGTCTTGTCAGCGATCTGCGGCGCCCCGACCGTGGAGATGACCACGTCCGCAGCCTTGACGGCGCTGAGCAGGCTAGCCTGGTCGTGCAGGTCGCCCTTGACGAGCGTGACGCCGGCGTCCTGGAAGCTCTTGAGAAGCGCCGCTTGGCAGGGTCGGAGGGGGCGGTGTCCCTGACGTGCGCGAAGGTGAGGTGGCCCTGCCGTGCGCTCGCCGCCACAACGTGCCTTCCCAGGTGTCCTGTGGCGCCGACCACCAGGATCTTGCTCTTCTCCGACGCCATCCTGGATGACTCCTAAGCTGGACTGGCTGACGGCAGGCCCGGGACGTGGCCCATCCCATCGAGCGGTGGAGGGTGAAGGAGATAGGGTAGGGACTGACCGATCGAGGCTGCTGGTCCCTTCCCTTGGCAATGATTACCCGGCGTCACAAGTTACACGTAGTCGTGGGACCAAATGACGAGCGCCTTCACTTTCTGTTTTTTTTTTCACTTTTCCTGCGCTTCAGATGCCTGAAAACTGACTGAGATTCAGGCGACAGTTCCGTGCGTGCATGCACCAAGCGCCACCTTCGACTTCCCAGCAAGCGAGGCTACACGCCCCACGCAGTCAGTCACGTCTCACGTGTTCCACTTCCGTTTGCTTCGCTGAAAAAATAAGTCGAAACACTATTCCGGCTGATTTATTGTGAGAAAAAACACTGTTACGGCTAAAAAAACAAGCTGAAAAAGACGGATCACTAGATAAGCGAACAGGCCGTAGCAGTGAATTGTAAATTGCTCGCTTAAATGTGCGGCAGCGAGGACGCTGATCCGTCTCGGTGCATGGGTTAGGGATTGTCTGTTGCAAAGTTTATGATTTATTAATTGTTTTTATGTCAAATATACCAAATTTTTTGTCATTGTCTGGTTATAGAAAATAATTGTTAATTGTCTTTGTGCCAACATAGATAAGATTTTGTCGGGTTTATAGTTTTTATCTAATGTGTTTTTAATTATCAGAATCGAAAATTGCATATTATGTTTACAGAAATTGCAAGAAACTAAAACTGCAATTTTAATATAACATATATGCAATAATCGTTGCCTGAAAGGAAGCTAAAATTCAGGCATCTGAAATTTAGCACGTCCCTTTTTTATATAATTGGTGCCTTAATTTATCTGTTCTGATTGGAATATATATCCACTTGTCATTTAATTGAACTGTGCACCTGGGCGCCATAGTGCCCTGCCTCAAGGTCCACAGTGAACACTTTGGGGTGTGTTTGGTTGCCAAATAGAGTTTGCATCGTATATTCGAATAAGAGGATGCAGGGTAGGTGAAACCGTATTTCAGAGAAAGATGGTGTTTGGTCAGGTTGCATGAGATGCAAAAAAATCTAGAAAGTTATTTGCTTAACTGCATAAGTAGATGCAACTTGTATCACCTATGAGACTGACGAGTGGACCCTACACCCCATCCCCGCATCCACCGGGCCTTGGCTGATCAGTGAAGCTCGATTTGGGCAGCTCCCAGAGCCAGGATCCCACCATATAGTGCATGAGCGAAGCAGGGCTGGAAAGTGGAAACAAGGATCCAAACAACCTTCTCTTGAAGCGTATACGGCTGAGCTCGTGCATGGATGGTGGGAGGCTAGGTAACCAAACACACCCTTGGCATCTTTCTAGTGCAAATGTGGAAGTGGAACAATGAACTTATCCAAAATCATGCCGGCGTCTTGTGTGCTTTGACCGAAGCCTAACCGGCAAGTAGAGTGGATTCAAGGAAAAATTTGAGTGGATTCAAGGAAAAATTTATCGATAAAATTCTGAGAAAACTGAAAATCATGTTTATCGCATAGCTTCAGTAATACATTTATCACCGAAATTCCAATTTTTAGTCCACCTACATGAAAGTGTGGTATTCTCTTGTATCAATATTTTTATGTGCTAGTTCTTGATATTAAATGCCTAGACCATTTATGCAATTTCTAGAGAAATTGAACGTTTTATTTATTTTCACTTTGACCGATAAACTTTACGCTAAATCCATTTATCAGTCACCTCCGGTATTTTTCTTTTCCTATGAACAAACTGGACTGGAAGGTCATTGTTCCTATGAATAAACACCTTGTATGGTAGTTTTTGTATTAGGGGAAGATAAATAATATGCTGGAGATGTTCAGACAAGCTGCTGCAGTCCCAAACATGGGAAAGTAGTTCAAAGTAGCTTTGCTGGCATCATCACCCACGATCACACACACGCTCACCACATCCAAGGAAAGCGTCACCGGGACATGCTGACGCATGATCTTTGTGCACTCCATATACATCTCTAAGTCCGCACGGTTTACATGCATTCAGAGCAACCTGTTGAGGTAGTCGTCGACGGTGGTGTACTTCACGTCCGGGTACAACTCGTTAGCGTCCACCTCTGACGATGGGTCCATCTCAAACTTGGTCTGTTCCCCCTTGATGTGCGTGGCGTGCCCGAGCGACAAATAAATGATGTCCAGCGGAGCCGGAACCGAGGCATCGTTCACTTTGCAAAAAAAGTGAACCTGATAAATAGTATCATTTTTGTCTTATTTGGTAAATATTGTCAAACCGTGGACCAATTAGGCTTAAAAGATTCATCTCGTGATTTCCAACTAAACTGTGTAATTAGTTATTTTTTTTACCTATATTTAATATTCCATGCAAACGGCTAAAAATTGATGTGACGGAGAGAGAGTGAAAAAAATTGGAATTTAGATGGCATCTAAACAAGGCCCGAGGCCTCTGCAGATCGGAAATCGGATCAGATCAGTCCATCATCATCATACTAATTCAGAGCCCGATCGAACGAAGCAATGTTTTTGGAAAGCGCGCGCTAGCTAGCTAGGCTACCTTGGATCCGCCTGAGGACGGCGTCCTCGGGGAGATGCACCCGCTGGAACGTCTTGCCGGTCTTCTTCTCCCACAGCGCCAGCAGCTGGTTGTGCGACAGCGTGTTGGCCGGCGGCCCGATGCGCAGCGTCTTGTTCTCGGCGGGCGGGTCGTCGGCGGCCAGCACCGTGTAGGTCGCGATGTCCGCCTCGTCGACGAACACCACCTTGGTGTCGCCGTCGCCGAGGACGAGGGCCTTGTCGGCGGGGGGTGCCTGGGCGACGACGACCTGGCCGATGCTGGGCAGCCCGTAGCCGAAGAAGTACCCGACCAGCACGTACGTGTAGGGGACGCCCGCGGCCTCGACGGCGCGGCGGATGGCCGCCTTGTTCGTGATGAACATGGACCTCGCCGGCTCCACGGCGTCCGAGCGGTCCGCGTCCAGGCCGAACTCCGACGGGATGAACCTCTGCGTGCGTGTATGTGTATCGATGGCCATGCAACATGCATCGATCAGATCAGACAAACAACAAACTAGCTAGTTGATCGCCCTGGGCATGTATGCAGACCCGGGGCATGCGTGTTCAGTTACCTTGACGTTGCCGGCCTCCTTGATGGCGGCGACGAGCCTTGTCTGGTCGGCGATCTGCGGCGCCCCGACCGTGGAGATGACCACGTCCGCAGCCTTGACGGCGCTCACCAGGCTAGCCTGGTCGTCCAGGTCGCCCTTGAGGAGCGTCACGCCGGCGTCCTGGAAGCTCTTGAGCAGCGCCGCCTTGGCGGGGTCGGAGGGGGCCGTGTCCCTGACGAGCGCCAAGGTGGGGTGGCCCAGCCGCGCGCTCGCCGCCACGACGTGCCTGCCCAGGTACCCCGTTCCGCCGACCACCAGGATATATGGATCTACCGATTGCTTGGACTGATAACCCAGCCGTTGCAATGCTTGCTCGATGTGAGAGCTGCATGCCGATGCCGTGTAACTGACCGTACGTCACTTGGTCAAATCGTCGTTACTTTGTCAAATCATCGTCACTTCGTCGAATAGTCGTCACTCGTGAGATCAAACGGCCAAGTGACGTCACTCGTGAGATCAAATGGCAAGAGAGCAAAGCCAATGCAACTGCCGAGCGCCTGGAATTTTATTTTATTATTATCTGTTTGATTTTCATGTCTGAAAATTGCGGAGTACCTTAGGCCTTGTTTAGATTGTAATTTTTTACAATCTGGACACTGTAGCACGTTTCGTATGTATTTGACAAACTTTATCCGATCATAGACTAACTAGGCTCAAAAGATTCGTCTCGTGATTTACAACCAAACTGTGTAATTAGTTATTTTTTTTACCTACATTTAATACTCCATGCATGCGTCTAAAAATTAATGTGATGAAAAGAGAGTGAAAAAACTTGAAATTTTGAGACAATCTAAACAAGGCCTTAGTTCCGTTGTGCTTGAAGAAGGAAATAAACTAACTTTGCCCCAGTCCCATCCAATATGTTCCAATCTAATTAAGTTTGCACATTCCTTGCCTTCAAGTCTTCAACTTTTGAACAAGGAAATGTGTCTCCCAGAGTTTTCTTCTTTTTTGCGAGCTGAAGACTTTTTTAAAAGAGTTAAGTGCATCATGGATCCCTGAACTTGTCAGCAAGCTAAAGACTTTATTAAAAGAGTTAAATACATCAGGGGGGCTTTGAACTTGTCAAGAGATATCACTTAGGTAAAATACATTTCTAGGCCCCTAAATTTATTAAGTGGTGCATTGCAAGCCCATATTGTCTACCGTGCACATTTTTTTCCAGCGTGGCATTGCCATGTGGCGTTGATTGTGCATGTCACCTTACATTTAACCCCTCAACTCATTTGCATTTGCAAAAAGAAAAGAAAAAAGTAGCTACAGCAGGAAGAAAATTATATGGGACGATGTCGCATTATGCATGTCGTGCGACACCTCGATAGACTCGGCTTATCAGTAAAGATGGACAACGGGCCGGCCCGGCACGGCACGGGCCCGTGCCAGCACGGCCCGATAGCCAACGGGCCGGCATGGCACGCCGTGCCTCACAGGGCCACGGGCCTGGCCTTCGGCCCAGGCACGACCCTATGGGCCGATTTCCGTGCCGGGCCGGCCCGAGAAGCACGACCATTTTCACAGGCCGTGCCAGCCCGAGGCCCACTGAGTGCCGACACAGAGAGAGAGGAGGGAGGAGAGGGTAGGCCGGGTCGCCGGGAGCAGGCAGGGTCACCGGGACGCAGGGGTCGTGGAGGAGCGGCGGGGGCTCGAGGCCAGCCACCGCGCGGGGGCCTTGGGGGAGGAGGGCGGCTGTCGGCGTGCTCGAGGTCGGCGCGTGCGCAGCGGCCGCGTGGGGAGGTGAGGAGGAGGTGGCCTCCGGGGCTGGGAGCGGCGGAGCTCCGGATCTCGGGGGCAGGAGCTGCGCAGGCGGCGCCCTCCCTCAAGTGATGGAGAGGAGATGAAGAGGGGGTGAGCGAGATGGAGAGGAGAGAAAACAAGGAAGGGAGGGAGTCACCGGATCTACCCGCCCGCGTGCTCCTAGCCACGCGCCGTCGAGGGAGAGTGTAACACCTCGGGTGTTAGCTTTGCATAACTTGACTTGCATAACATGAGCATGAGCATCAAGCATTCATAAATCATCATTTACAATTGAAACATCTGATCGAAACATATGAAACATTGCTTGTTATTCCGTGTTTCTTGGAATATATGCATATGATCATATGTAAATAAATGCTAGTGTGTAATGTTGGTCACTATAACACCTTAGCTACACTTAGATTAACAAAAGGAACCTTGTTCATGAAGGCCACATTTCATGATCAAGCAATTAAGCGATATTGCATGTGTTGACCTGAATAGCTATATGAGTGACTACTACATTAATTGCTTAAATGACCTTGCAAATTGTTTAAACATGCTTAGGATATCATTAGGAACAACTTTGGTATTTAGTGCTAAGGCTAGTTTGGTCATTTAGCCATGGTTTGAGTATGTATCATGTTTTCAAAGTGACATGTTTGACTAAAGTTGAACTAGGTGTTAGAGACCTTGCATGGAGGAGTTCACTAAAGCAAAGTTGTAGTGTTTGACATAAGGAACAACTTTTATTTTTATGTCATGGACTAATTTAGCTTCTAACATGTTTGAATTGGACTCACAAAAATCAACTTTTCTTTGTTTTCAACACTTCAAAAAAATTTCTAAGTGTTTGCTCACTAATGACTGACAAATAGGACTTTGGAACGAAATAACTCGAGTTTGGTCGAGTGTTGGAGCATGATCCTTTAATAACATTTGTAGCTGGTACTTAGGACTACGAAAGTCATTTAGATCATTTACGAGTTGGAGCCACGGATTAGCAGTTAAATCAACGAAAACTTCGTCGTCGAGCTCGACCATTGCGTTTTCGACTAATCGAATCGCGACGTCAATGGCCGACCAAACGGTTTCAGAGACATCGCGCCGCGTGTCCCGGCGGCGACGGCCAGCGTCGCCGGGTATACCGACCACAGAGAGGCCACGCGCGCTGGTAGCGCGCCTTCATCACCGCCGACACCGCCCGAGTCGCCTGCGCTCCCATTTCCCTCTGGCGTCCCTTCTTCTTCATTGCGGCGATACCGCCGAAGCGCCAGCAGCTCGCGCGTCGCCATAGCATGCCGCAGCCCGCGCTTAGCCACTCCAGCACCACCACCAAGCTTCACCGTCTTCTCAGCGACCCACTGCTCCCTTCCGTGCTCACTGACCAAGCTTGGTAAGCCATTGCCGCGCGTTTAAGCTCGCCGGAGCTCCGCCGCAAGCCCCGTCACCGTGGCGGGCGTGATCCACCTCTCCATGCGTTAGCTAGTCGTCGAAAAGTCGTCTTAGGTAGCTTATGCTCGTCCAAGCCTTAGATCGGGCCACTGGGTCGTCACCACCGCGATTGCCGTGGTCTAGCTCCGCCGTTCGCCATGGCCGCCGCCGATAGCTCTAGGGTCGGCAATAGGTCCAGTCCTGCGGTTCAGTAGGTTCGCCGAGTCGTATAGGTCATACCGTGATGACCTCACCGCCGTGGCGTGGCTCGTCGTCGACGACAGCAGCATGCAAGATTGCGGTGCAAGCTGCTGCTCTGCTCTGTCATCGACGCGTGGGGTCCCCCGACCAGTGGGTCCCTGTCGTCGACGACAGCGATAGTGAAGGCTAACCCATTTTGAATCCAGTTTTGATTTGTTTTGTGAAATTTGTATCTTCAGTTTGGTAGCTCCAAAAATTGTGAAATAAATATGGTTGTGTTGCTTAGGAAGTGTAGTATTTAGTAAAAATATGTTCTTGGCTTCCACAGTAGAAATTTCTGGAGATTTAAATAGGGATTTCAAAGGTGCTTTTGAATGCATTCAAATTTGTTTATTTTATATCAAGAGTTCCTGTGCTCCAAAAATTATGAAATTTTTGTGGTAGGCTATTCTTGTTATATATGAGCTGGGATAAAAATTCGAAGACCAATGCATGTGTAGATCTATAGTTATAGATTTTTCTTTTATAAATAGTTAATCCTTGCATGAATTTTTATAAATTAATTATGAGTCCAAAATTCATGAAATTTGTTGGAGGTAATACTAGTACCATATGGATGTTAGGAAAAATAAGAAATCTGTTGCTTGACACTTTTCAATAGGATTTTCCATTTATGCTATTTCAAGCCTTGCTTCCCTATCATTTTTGTATAGGATGTTCTACTTAGTAAAATGACATGAAATTTTTATAGTAGTCCTTTGATAGCAGTAGTAAGGCTCTGTAAATTTTTGAGAATTTATTAAGTACATATGATATATATTTATTATTTAACCTAGATATTTAAATAAAATAATAAAGGCAATCTAATAAATAGTTTGGGCTTCACCATTATATTATCTTAACTATATTTGGTATGCTTAAACTGTTGGTAGGTTCTAGGTTGTCAAATTGTGAATGATTACATAAAGTAGAAGTATTCTTACTTTATATTGCATGTTAAATCATTTACGGACTGATTCTAGAGTGTGAGGATTTGCATGTTGAAACTGATGTGTACTGTAAAATGGTTAATAACAAAGTTGTAGAGAATTGGATAAGCTTTCCAGAAAGTCCTAGATCACTGTTTTTGGATTTGTAGAACTCCGGTTATGAGTGAAACAAGTAGCTACTGATTTGTGGCATAATCGATGCATTGTAGAAGTAGTTAAGTAATAATCGAGAAGAGATATGCACCTACTCAAACAACGTGATGCACTTGTTAACATGTATGCATTCGTAATACTTATACCATACTCATGCATCTAGGATCGGAGGAAGAGATCACGTTGCTGGAATTGAAGAAGCGAGAGGAAGGAACGCAGGAGGATCCGCAAGCCGCAGCCTCTCGAAGGCGTGGAGCGAACCCTGAAGAGCTTCCGGAGTGTGTCGACCATCGCCCTACTTCCTTTCTGCGAGGCAAGCCCCGGAGCATTATAAGTCTCCCAGTAATTTACAAATGTTTACTTAAGTATTTATGATTGCTGCATTAGGTTATAAGAGTTGAATGAAACCACTTGATGCATGTACATTCCTTGTCCAGATATTACCCTTTAACCGGTATAGGTCCAGGATCGAACATATGCTTAGCCATGCTCAGACCGGTAGAAGTCGGGTGATTTCCTGTCACCTGCGAGATATAGGTGGATACCGGAGCACGGTGGGTTATAATTGCTATCGTGGAAAAGAACCATGGTTAATGTAAATGGAGACCGGGCGGGATGTCGATAGAGAAGCAACAAGACATGGAGGTCTTGGGTGTGGATCTATCCCCGTCTGTGTCGATTAAGGACCGTACCGTTGTTGGTGCTTCTGACAAGATTGAACGCATGCCTCTCACTTAGCTGGCCGGATAACTCGTTCCGACCGCGAAGCCGAGTAATTCAACTCAGGCCGGGAATCGTTCTGTTGTGCGCTCCTTCCGGGGAACGATCAGACTGAGCCCAAGGGCAGGCTTGGCCTGAGCATCCTGGCATCTGGTGTTCCAGATTGTGCGGCGCAGTACGGACCCGCGAAATGTGTACCGGAGTTGTACCAAAGGTGACCTAAGGCTATCGTGGCTGGTAGACCTGGGTTTGTGTTAGGAATAAATTCCCAGCTGGTTGAAATCGATTCGAATCGCCGTCTCTCCCGGATAGTGAGAAACTTGGCTAGTCCCAACATCGTAGTAACTGTGTTATGGAACATGATGGTTCGTACGAAAATGGAATTACAATACTTGCTATGGTTACTATTGTATGCTTCTAAAGGATATACCACATGTTTGGCATAGGATACTTGCTAACCTAGAAATGAATAGTTATAATTAACTTGGTAAAGAATTAGTAACTATACCATGATTTAATTGCTTTTACGCAAAAATGTTGTCAAGTTACATCCACTTATACAGCCTTGCATAATCCTTGGAGTCACTTTTTATTTTACGGTTCATGACGGGTAAGTCTAGTGAGTACCTTCTCGTACTCGGGGTTTATTTTCCCAATGTTGCGAGATGGCACTTTGTGTATCATGGTTATTGCAAGAGTTGCTTCTATCCCATTGTGGATGAGGAGTAAGCCTTGGGCGAGGCTTCTTTAGTAATTCCTATCCTTACTTTTGTGGACCGTGATCTAGCTTGGCACTTTGTATCAAACTATGTTGGAAACTTTATCTTGAACTTATTTGCTTCCGCTTTATTTATCAAACTCGGTTTGTAATAACTTTTATTCAGTACTACGATGATGAAAAGTATCTGTGAACTTTATGTAATATGTGGCATGTATGTTGAATCATAC